AGCTGGCTCTGGCCCTGTACCTTTCCAAGTTGAGTGCAACATGTGAGAGCAGAGTGCAGAGAGCAAGACAGCGAAGTCAGGGCAGATCTTAAAGGGCAGTGGCCAGAGACCTGGGCAAAGCACGTCAGTCTTTGATTTTCCATCCCAGCAGAAAAGGATGGGTACCCCCCTACTCAACATCTCTTCCACTCAGGACACCCCCTTTTTACATGCAAAAGCAAATCAAGATTCAGAATTTTTATTAAAAACTGAGGAGGTAGGCAGTTTGTGAAGAAGTGTTTTCTTGTGTCTGCAGATTGACAGTTTCTTCAAGGATGATCTGAAGAAGAGTCTAGAGACATACAAAAAAGACATAAACAGTTCGAAGAACATAACAGCGAAACATGACTGGGACACCATCCAGAGCCTGGTGAGCACAGACACCTGCCAGACATTCTAATAAAAATTCCAGTCTGTACCATCACCCCACTCACTGCCCCAGTCTATAACACTCCCTAATAACACTCTGTAGCAATTCTCCAGTCTCATACACTACTCCAGCCTTTGGTAATGCTCCATGTTAATAATGGCATGTTAATCTCAGTCTCTAGAGATAAGATAAGATAAGATTTTTATTGTTCCCTGAGGGATTTTTTTTATGGACACCCGGCACTCCTGTACATTTAAATAGAATAGAATGCCAAAAAAAGAGAGAAGAAAAACACTGCACATTATACTATTACAAAAAATAATAAAAACATTGCACATCATTCTATTGCACATGTAGAGTATAACACATAACAACATGTAACATTTATAACACATCACAAAAGTATGTTGCACTCAAGTGGGTTGTAAGAGTCAAAATTGGGTTTATCCTTGACATTTTCATTGACAGCTTTAATGGATAGTGGAACAAAGGAATGTCTGTATCTGTTTGTTTTACATTTGGGAACTCTAAAATGTTTGCCAGAAGAAAGTTGATATTCAGAGTTGAGGATTTGGGAAGGATCTGATAGAATTTTTCCTGCCTGTTTGATTAGGGATTTTTCAAAGATTGTCTACAGGGAGGGGTGCTGTTTCACTCCCATGACCTTCAAAGCTGTCTGGATGAGGCGGGTAATTTGCGATTTAAAATGAACTGATAGATTACCAAACCACACTGAAATACCATACCTGATAATGCTCTCGATTACAGCACAGTAGAAGAGTAGCATTATTCCTGTTGAACCCCAAACACTCTTAGTCTTTGCAGGAAATATAAGCGCTACTGAACTTTGGAGCAAACACTCTCAACATGAGTAGACCAGCACAGGTTACGGTCTATGTGTCCACCTAAGTACTTATATGAATCAACCTGAGTGATAAGTTTGTTGTGGATTACTACCTGTGAGTGATCACCAACTGTTCTGGGATCGAAAACTACTTCTTTTGTTTTATTAGCATTCAAAATTAGCCTATTGTTGTCACACCATTGCACAAACCTTTTGATTTCTGACATGTATACAGATGAGCTGTTACCTCTATGTATTAAACCAAGAACAGCTGTATCATCTGAGAATTTGAAAATGAAGTTGCTTTGACTACTGCTTATACAATCATTTGTATAAAGTGTAAACAGAACTGGAGAGCTTACACAGCCCTGTGGGGCACCTGTGCTAATAGACTGTGACTCGGAAAGAGTTTTGTTGACCCTGACATACTGTATGCGGTTTGTTAAAAATGAATGGTACCATCTTATAATGTTATGGTTAACGGACACTTGCTTAAGCTTACTAATTAATAGATGGGGCTGCAGAATATTAAATGCAGAGCTGAAGTCCACAAACAGCATCCGAGCATAGGCATTGGGGTCCTCAAGGTGTTTTAGAATAAGATGCATAATGCTGTTAATTGCATCATCGGTGCCCCGCCGGTGTTTATATGCAAACTGATATGAATCCAGTACAGTGTTCACTTCTGAGCACAGCATGGATACCATAATCCGCTCAAAGCATTTAATCACAACAGATGTCAGTGCTACCGGCCTGTAGTGATTGTTATCTGAAGGACAGGGCTTTTTGGGTATTGGCACGATGATTGCTTTTTTCCCACTGTGCTGGAACAGACTTCTGAAAGATGGGGCACCATGCTGGTGTTAATTCCTCTGCGCAGTTTTTTAAAAGAGAGGCAGTGATGCCATCGGGGCCTGTTGTCTTTTTTCCAGATATGTGCCTGAAAGATTGTGTGGTCATCTGCAGACGTATTACAAGCCTTCCAGCACTACTGTCAGCTGTAATAGTATCGAATATACTGTCACATGCACCAGAGAAGTCCTGTGTCTCAAACCTCAGATAGAAGTCGTTCAGCTCGTTTGCTTTAGCCAGCTCATCCACTGTATGGAAGCTGTTCTTTGAAGGATTCATGTTTGTGACTATTTTCATTGTTTGCCACAGCCTCCTGGAGTTCATTGTTTCAAAGTCACTTTCCATTGTCTCCTTGTGTTGATTCCTTGCATTCCTGAGTTTTAGTTTAAGCTGTTTTTGCAGTAATTTCAGTTGCACTTGATCCTGGTTTTTAAAAGAGAGTCTTTTGCAGTTGATGCAGTCTATCACATCCTTAGTTATATATGGTTTATTATTTGGGTACACTGTAATGTTTTTCCTGGGTATGACACTGTCCACACAGAAATTAATGTAGTCTCTGTTGCCTCATTAACCCCCAAGCTATGAAATATCTCCCAGTCCGAGCAAAGGAAACACCCTTTCAGCATCTCAATACTATCATCAGTCCATACAGTTACAGTCTTAGTGACAGGTTTGCTGCTCTTGAGAGCTGTCCAGTAAGTGGGGATGAGGTGAACAGTATTGTGATCAGAGTTAGACAGAGGTGGTTTGGCTTTGGCGGAATAGGCTTGTTTTATATTACCATAGCATTTGTCTACAACTCTGTTCCCTCTCGTCCCACATTTAATATACTGTTCAAACCCAGGCAATGCCATCTCCAGTTTATAGTGGTTAAAGTCACCCAAAATAAACACCTTTGGAAGTCTGCTGGAGTTGCTCATGTACACAACCGGCTCCCTGAGAATCAGCAGCCGCTGCATTTCCACTGGGAGGAACGTAAACAGTGCATATAATAATGTTACCGAATTCTCTCGGAAGGCAGAAAGGCCTGAAACTCAGGCACAGAAGCTCAACATTTTTGTTGCAGATAATTTTCCTCACAGAGTATTGTCTGCACCACTTATCGTTCACAAAGACACAAATACCACCACCTCTGCTTTTACCAGATGTTTCAATTCTATCTGAGCGAACATGGGAAAACCCCTCAATTTCCACAAGAGAGTCGGGTGAAGTCTTGCTGAAGCCAGGTCGCAGTAAAGATCACCAAACAAGACTCACGGTACTCGGAGCACGCTCTGGTATTGATCCGCAGCTCATCCATCTTGTTCCTTAGGGAACGCGTTTTGCTCAGGATCATGGAGGGCAAGGGTGGTCTGTTCCCTCTTCTCCTGAGCCGCTGCCGAACGCCTCCTCTCTTGCCTCTTCTCCGCGGTCGGTGGTTTCTTCCTGCTCGGTTGTCCTCGGGCACATCTTTGAGGAAACCGCAGGGGCTAGCCGCTTGGCCAGATGGCCGTAATGATAAAAGCGCTTGCCTTGTATAAGAAAGCAGTGCGCGACTGTTCCTTATGTGGTCCAGTGTGAGTAGGCACGTAGTTAGAAAGTCGGACAGGATCAGTGTCGCAAATAGTATTGTGTAGTTTACCAAAAAAGACATGCTACAGCACTTTAAAAAACAAAAACAAACGGAAACAAGAGCCAAAAGTAACAAGAAAAAAATTGCAAAACAACAACTAATAAGGAATAAAAAATAAAGAAAAACTACAGAAAGTAAAATGGCCTTTGCTGATGAACAAGACCAGTTTTACCCCTGGGGTATGTATTCTTGACTGACAACACCCTCCGCCCGAGCCTCCGCCTCTGTGAGAGTCACAGTGTTGCCAGGAGTCTGATCGCTGATTCTGCTCCTGTCCTGCAGTTCAAGTGCTGTGGAGTTGAAGGGCGACAAGATTGGACCGAAGTTCGAGTGCCCCAGTCATGCTGTGTTGACTCCTGCAAGAATTCCACAGAGCTGTACTGGGAGAAGGTGAGGACTTCCAGTGCCTCCTCATTTTCCTACATTTTGGTTCAAGACCAGACTCATGTAGATGTAAGATTGTCAAGGTACAAACTCAAATGTTACAAGCATGGGACACAAGAAATAAGATTGCATTTCCAAATTGGTGTGGAGTTCATTCAGGAACAGAAAAAGAGGAGCACATATTCCTTAGTTATTTATATCTGATAGTTCATGAACAGTTCATGAATGGAGTTTATGCATTAGGGGATGTGAACAAGTTTGTACTGTAAGTAGGAGCTTAGTTGTGGCCAAATGATTCACTGTATATTAGTCCCATTTCTGATGCCTCAAAGGTGCAGCTTGAAACATATAGCTGGACTGGATGTCTTACATTAACTCATCTAACATACAGTACAATGCACCTCTCCTCTGTGTGCTCGTCCCCCTGACCTCATCTCTCCCCTGCAGGGCTGCTACACCCTGCTGAAAGAATGGTTTGAGACCAACTTCCTTACCGTTGGGGTGGCCGTCATCATCCTGTGCATCATCGAGGTACAGTCTCCCGTCTCGTGAAACAGTTTGGGTTGTGGGCTCTGGATGCCTGACTGTGGATCCATCTTTTATGACCAGAGACCTTGAAAGGTAGTGTGGCTTCCAGGGCTCAGCTCCATCTCTCCCTACGTCTTTCCACAGGTCCTGGGAATGTGTTTCTCCATGACCCTCTTCTGTCACATCAGACAGTCTGGAGGGGGTTACAAATGAAAGGAAGACCAAGGGACAAAATCTCACATGGGTATCAGCCAGGTCTAACTACACCCTCCCCTCCTCCCCCTCACAGCCCTCTCCTGCCTCAAACCCCCTCCTTCCCCTGTCCTGCCCTGGGATAGGCACACCCCAGTGTCCCCAGTGTCTCCAGCTGCCCCTCTTCTGAACAGCAGCCACATCAGCCTATGAACCAGACACAGAGTCTGCCAACACACAAGCCACTCCCAGGATGTCTTATTTCACTGCCTGTGGGTTGGACCGAAGACTCTGCTGATCCCTGTAGATGTTCATATTCCAGCCAGCTTGTTGCAGCAGAAAGAGCCCTTAAAAGACAAAGCCTTTTGCCGTACATGATGTGCACATTTTAGAATCCGACAAGCAGGACAGAAGACTGTTGAAGACACCCAAGCCATCCGTTTTAGTTATTGCAGTCTCTCATGATAGAGCCTAGTCAACAGGAAGAAGCTGTGACCCGTGAAAGACAACAGTGCACTGAACAGGTTCTGTATCTCTGTATATAATGGAGTTTCTAAGTCCATGCATTCAAATTGTTTTGTACAGACTGTAATTGTAACATTAATTCCTACTCACAGAGTACTAGATTATGCAATCCAAATAATTTCAAAATTGATCCTGTATTATGTATCCATTGTATGTGTGTATAATAACTGCTAATAAATGTGTAGTTTATTTATGACTGTTGCATCCTTAACTGACAACTGTTTAACAACTGTTTACTATTGCTGTTGCTAAAATTTGTTTGCCGTGCTCAGATGGAGACAAGCATGCGTTAACTTTGCAACCAATTTATTAGGAAGGTATGTACCTTAATAGGGTGGTAAAAAGGCAAGGTGGTTAGTGAGCTCGCAGTTCCTGGGACCTGGTTCAAGTATGGCCATGATGAGCTTCTGTGTGATGTTTACATGATCTCCAGCTGTGTGGGTTTTCTGCAGGGGCTCTCGTTCCCTTCCAAAGTCCATGC